CCGTGCAGATGATGGTCTAGTTTTCTTTTTTTTTTTTTTTTATTTTACCGCATGAGAAATTGCTTGAAGGATGGCATGACCCTCGGCCATGAAGGTGCTCGCTTTCGGACGAAAGGTGAAGTGGCTTGTTATGTCGATGTAGGCCACAATGACTGACTCAGTACTTTTGGTATCGTGTGACCATTATATGTTATTAGGTAGTGGGAGTATGTTGGAGAATTTTTTGTAATAATTTCCAGATGTTATTCTTGAACTGGGAGTTTGGGCGCCTGTTTTGTCCAGAATAGCCGTTTTTGTTCCTTAATGGTTATAAGTTTTCTGTGCCTTCCTTCAATTTGATCCAGTTATCTTTGTTTATACTGTAATTAAATTTTGTCTTGGCTTTGCGTTTTTTGATGAGAGATTGTTGACACTTAATATTCCGCCATGGGGAGTGATTTTTGTTATGAGTACAATGTTGGCGGGAGTTATTTTTGTCTATCGTAGTGAATTGCTGTTGTAGTTGGTGTTAGACCAATCTGTGTTGGAAGCCCACTTGTTAAGATTTTTCATGAAATGTGTGAAGTCCAGGACCGTAATAAGACTGGCTGTTAATCTCTAAGTTTTGATTTCCGTTATAATTCTTCTGTGTTTGCTTCTGTGGTGGATGTTAAGAGGAGTCCGTTGGTCACGCTGGCGACACTACTTGTGGCTAAAGTGAGGCGAATGGATGTATTCATTACCCAGGCATTGTAATGTGTATATTGGCCATCGTTAAGTAAAACCATGTTGACTCTCTGAATGATTTCAGCTAAGTACTGTACTTTCCTCTGGTGTCTGATTTTGAGTTACTCCAGAGAATGAGATGTGTATTGAAGTTTCCTGCCATTATGACATCAAAAAAAATTATTAAGTTTGAAGAGTTGATCTACATCTTTGTCGTCCGCTTGAGGAAGGCAGTAGAAGTTTATTAGATGGACTCGATTAGGAATAATATGTCCATAATTTGCCACTCTGGTTGACTTCGTCCGGTTGCTTCTCGAGTAGTAATGAGTTTTTTTTTTTTTTGTTGTTAAGTTCTATCGAGTCTTCGTCGACTCCTGGTGACTTCATGGACAAGTCTTCTCCATCTTGATCTTTCCCTTGTTGTTTCTCGTAGCTCCTCCAGCTTCATTTCTGTGACTTTTTCTATTTCTTCTATCCATCTTAGCCTTCCCCTCTTCCTTCTACCTTCCACTTTTCCCAGCATAATAGTCTTCTCTAGGGAAACTTCTTTACGCATCACATGTCCAAAGTAGGTCAATTTTTGTTTTAAGATTCTTGACTCTAAGGAGAAGCTTGGCTTAATTTTTTCTAAAATTGAGATATTTGTTTTCTTTTCTGTCCATGGAACTCTAAGTAATCTTCTCCATACCCATAATTCGAATGCATCTATCATTTTTCTTTCCTTTTTCCTTAGAGTCCAGCTTTCACAGCCATATAATGTTACAGGGAAAACCATTGCTTCTACAATTCTTTTCTTAGTATGAATGGAAATGTCTTTATCTTTCATTATCTTGGTGAGATTTGCCATGGCTGTTCTGCCAAG